CACACCCACCACACATCCACACCCACACCCGAATAAACGAAGCTCATAAGGCATCATAAAAACAAAATAAACTTGACCACATTGCTTGCGCAGATGATTAAAGCTTGATAATCGTCGAATTGTTGCCTTTTCTCTTCAGGTCACGCATAAAATTAGATCTCACTGTATATCAAATCCCATATTTATTTAGAAGAAAAAGATGCATTAAATATTTGATCGATTATAACTACTGATCACGACACGCACGAGCGATTAAATAGTAACTGCATATAAATATGAATTTATTTGTTAGAGAAGCAAAAATCTTGATTAAAGCAGTGTAGATAAAGATAAAAGGACAATGAAGCTGAGAAAAACATCGTGCAAAAAGGTAACTATAAAATCTATATATCGATCGCAATCATCATAAAATGGAATAGCACAAGCATTGATGGAACAAGTGCCATTGAATTTGTTGCTACTAAAGAAAGTGAAACACTGATCCCATAAATATATAGATTATAATGATGTACTAATACCCACAGATAGATATGTATCGATTTTAGGATCAAAATGATGTAGAAGAAAAATGGAAAATATTAGATACGAAAGTAATCTTGTCGAGAAAATGAAAACATTTCATGTACAAGTATTATTGAAACATTTTATGAAAATTATGAGATTTGATTGCAGAAACATATCGTCTAATGTAAAAAACATTTTTGAAGTTTTGATAATTTTGGCAATTTCAATCAGAGAAAAATGTGGTGAGTTTTTTTTTTAGAGAAAATTTTTGGATCAGAATGTGTGATATCCTAGAAATGATAAATGTCTGAAAAGTTTCGTCACTTAATTCTTTTAACTTGTTCTCAAGATTAGAGCTTTTTTCTCCTCAAGAAATTCATCCGGTATGATTCAGACACTTTCTTAGCATTCTGTTAAAACGTACCCGTGACAGTTGAACTAGAGAATGGTTGTTGATTGATGAATTTTTGAATTCGCGAATTGTTACTGTCAGTCACGTATAAGTTCCCGTTCGAATCGAGTTTTATACCGTAGGGTGTGTTCAATTGGGACGCTCCTGAGCCATACGAACCCACAATGAGGATGCCGTAAGCCGCATTTGGTGCCCATTGAACGATTCTGTGATTACCCGAATCTGACACATATATATAGCTAAAACTGTCAACAACGACACTGCTTGGACTATTCAATTGATTCAGGCCTGAACCCTGTACATTGTTACCGCAAATAGTTGAACCTGATGAACCTCCAATAGACCACCGTTGGATACGGTGGTTGAAAGTATCGGCTACGTAAACGTAAGACAAAGTTGAATCCACATATATACCCCTTGGGTAGGATAGTTGATGTGAAGCGGAACCTTGTCCATTGCCACCTGCGATAATAACGTTCGTGATACCTCCACTATTTGGCCAACGTAGTACTTGATGACTATTCCAATCTGATGCATAGATCGTCCCGGAGTTATCAACATAGACACCGTAACTGACAATGTTGGTTGCCACAGTAGTGCCACTACTTGCTCCGTTGGTCCAGCGCTGAATTCTACTGTTACCAAAGTCCGATATGTATAAAACACCACTTGATTGGACAACAACAGAAGTAGGCCTACTGAGCTGAGCTTCAGTACTACCACAAAAACTAGTATTGCCAGCCACGGTTACACCAGTCGCATTTCCCACTAACCAACGTTGAATACGACAATTGTTATAATCAGCTACATATATATAATTGTTTGAATCGATTGCAACATCCCATGGATAATTTAACTGAGAAGCACCTAAACCATAACCACTGGCTACCGTTACGCCTGTTGTGTTCCAATAACCATGCAGCGTTGACTGAGTTGTGGCTTAAATGTAAATTAAGCAAAATTGAGATATCCTGAAAATATTGACAAACGAATAACACACGAACACAGGCAAGCATGAGTTTATATTATACAAAAGATTTTGTCCATATTTTGTAGAAACTACAGTTATTAGGACGAAAAACTTGTGCCATAATTTCTGTTTCGCATTTATGCAGATAGTCGCATTTAAAAAAATCAATCCTGACCATGACTTTTTCTTTCATTTCGTAAAATGACGGTCTCACTATTTCGCCAATATTCCATTCAATTTTCATTGCTGATGCGTCAATTTTTTTTCTAAAGATTCTCTTGTCAATTCTCTACAAGAATGTATAAGAAGACTTGATCTCAATATAAGCATGAGAAATTGAATAAATAGTATTTTGAATCGAACATATTCAACTTTTTCAGTGTTTTAAATAAAAACATACAGATTATTTTCTATGAAACTGCTAAACATAAGCTTTTTCTAATACAAAGCTTCGAAAGTTGAACATGTTGGAATTTCACAATATTGTTCTTTTTCTCAAATTCTCATGCTGATAAATAAGATTAAGTCTTCCTATACATTCTGATACAGAATTGAGCAGGAAATCTTCCAGAAAAAAGTCAAATCGATTAACAATGAAAACTGTAGGAGATATTGCCGAAATATTGAGATCGTTTTTGATCTAGTTGGGTCGGAATGTCAATCGTTGTTCATATAATGACCACAAGGTCAATAGTAAAGACAAAATGTGTTCTCTACACAAGTCAAAAAGTACGAGCCGATTCCAGCAGGAGAACACCGGAAATTACCGAAACATGGGAGCAGTATTCTAGCGGAAAATTTTTCGGATTATTGTTGGTGGATTTCGACCAACTTTCTGCTCTTTCCTGTAGGTACTAGCCATAAATTATCCGAAGAACATCCGGAAATATCTGGCCGGCATACTGCTTCTATGTTCCAGCGATTTTTGGTGTTTTTTTGCTGGCTCCAGTGAAATTCGATTATTTCCAAAGGTCGAAATAAGACAATGGTGAAAAACTATTCAAAATACTTGATGTCGTAGTAGTTGTGGTCGTTGTGATTGTTGTGGTCGTTGTGATTGTTGTGGTCGTTGTGATTGTTGTAGTCGTTGTGGTCGATATGATCGTTGTCGTCACTGCAATCGTTGCAGTCGTAGTAATCATTGTATACGTTGTGGCCGTTGTTGTTGTTGAAGTCGTTGTAGTAGTATTAGCTATCCAAAACGACAATGAAATGAAACTGAATGGTGATTATCCGAACAACTCACGGCAAGATAAGACAAATTTTTGGACTCGCATATTGAATGAATCGGCAACAGCAATATCTCCATTGGGATACAAGCTTAGACTTTGTGGTGCATTCAATTGCGAGAGCCTAGTATTGCTACCCACAACTAGAATACCTGTGGTGGCATCAGGTCTCCAGAGCATGATTCGGTTGTTAAATGTATCCGCAATGAATATGTTGCCATCGACATCAACAATGACCCCTTGTGGGTTGTAGAGTTGATTGAGTGCATTACCGAAAACTCCTGTTTGTCCAGCCACAACTGTACCGTTATTTTCATTGACAACCCACTTTTGGATTCGATGGTTCCCAGTATCTGCTACATAAAAAATGTTTGAGGTGCTGGTATTGACGAAAAGCCCGCGTGGATACGCGAATTGGTTGGGACTGCTGCCGTAACTACCATATACAACAGGACTAGCTGATGGTGATGACCATTTGACTATACGATGGTTGTTGGTGTCTGCAATCCAAATAACACCTGTAGCAGCTTCGACGAACAGACCGTCTGGATTATTGAGTTGATTGCCTTCACTACCCGTGCCGTTACCACCAGCTACAATGGTGCCGTTAGCACCGGCTGCGCTGTTTGATGCCCATTTCATCACTCGCGCATTGATAGAATCAACCACATAGACGCTACCATTCGCATCTACGCTTATACCTCTGGCTGAAATCAAGGCAAATGAACAATACACAAATAGCGCGAATACTACTCACGATCAGTCAATTGATTAAGAGCTTTGCCAGGGCTGCCGCCAGCCACAGTTGTTCCATTACTGGCGTTTGCTAACCATTTTTGTACACGATTATTTTCCCAATCTGAAACGTATACAGCTGATGTATTGTCAACAAATACAGCCCATGGCAAACGAAGCATGTCTGCAGTTGAACCTGAAAGACCTGACGCTGAACCAGCCACCGTGGTAACAGTAGATGCCTCCCATACAGCCGTCTGACAAAGTGTTATGGCTTTGTCAGCATGCATAATCAGAAATCTGATTAGAAATTGATAATCAGCATTTTATTTAATAAGTTCAATTGGTCTTACATCATGTGAAATATGAAGGGCAAGTAGAAATGACTTGGACTCATTGTCGTAATTATAAATGTGATAGATCTAGAATGATAGTATAGGATAATTTATGAAGAAAAGGACGCCTCGTTTACCTGCAAAATTTTCTTTATACTTGTGGTTACGTATAATTCTTCCCAGAGTTCACTTGAACGTTCTTTGTCTAGAACCGAGCTCGACAGTAAATAATAACTTTGTACTGGCGGTAAAAGCAAATGGTCGAAAAAAAGCTTGTGAAATAATAATGTACTGTTTTATCTGAAAAAAGCTTACAAGCAATATCACATACTTTCTACGAGTTCAAATCGGGTTTCAGAACTTCAGTTGTATTATAGTGAAGATAAGTAATATCGTCTTGCAATAAGAAGAGAGAAATGCCTGTAAATTTGTAAGCAATTTTTGTTAGAGTTTGCCTGTTTCAACGTAACTTTATTCATTCATTGTCAAAGTAATGGATCCGGCTGCATTTTTTATTGAAAGTGAAAATAAACTTCAGCGTATTTGACAGTGCCTTCATTTTCTGTGATTAAATCAACTGGAATGATTGCCTCGAGGACGAATGAAGTAAAGCCACATCGAGACAGGACTTTTCAATGATGAAAAGAATACATGCCTATTTATCTTGATACTTGTTATTATTCCGTGTAATCGATTGTTTTCTTCTTATCATTCAACAAGGCTTACTGTGTTGTCCCAATTCAACTTTATTTATTTATCTTCAAGGCAATCAGTCACAGAAAATGAGAGCACTCAGTCGCATAGTTTGAGATTTGCTTTCATCAGACCAATTTTCTTTCTCATGAAATGAATACTTCTCAGAGGAAATAAAATGTGGTTATAATTATATTCGCGTAGACGGAGGGTGGGTGTGTAGGTGAACAGAAGAGCAACAAACACACACATCTAGATACAACTTGAATGTAACTGAGTCTAAGTGTTTCTCTTTGCTTTACCTGACAAAGTAAAATAACTCAACTTTTCTTTCCTTTACTTTATTTTATTTTTTTCAAAGTCAAATAAATAAAAAAATGGTACCTCTAGCAACAATGGATTGATTTTAAATATTCAATATATTTTTCAATGAATCACAATATTGCTTACTATCATTATTGATCGATATTTTCATCAATAAGTATGATTCAGTAAATCAAAACAGATCTAACATCAAAGATGCATAAAATGACACTAATGCAATTTAATCACATACTATATACATTTAATATCAAATACGAATACTAGAATAGATTACTCATGCATGATTGATGAACAGGAGTAGTGAAGCTACATTAATAACACCAACGGCGTTTTCTTTTCTTTAGAATTCATGTTTTTCATTTGATCAATGAAATTTTATCTAGCTGAGAGCAATATATATTGTGAAATCATTCATTTTTTTCTGGAATAGTGTAGCTGAATTGGACAGCTTAACGTTAAAGAAAACGTATATAGTGGTTATGTATTCTTAAGAGTAAGCGAACGCACAGGATCATAATTCATTTATTCTTATACTATTGAAATTTATGCATAGTTTGATATACAATTTTATATTGAGTCATTTTGTAATTACGATATTGTGATGTATCTTTCTGATAATTTTACACAACAATACTGCTTCCATTTTTATGTTTATATCATTGAATCAGCCATTAAAGTCTTAACCCATTACTATAGCAGAAAGTTTATTGAACGACACGGCTAGTGTGTTCTATTTGTTGCTTTACTTACACTTAATGATATGCTATTTAGAAATGCAGTTCTGTTCAGTGATCTAGCGACTGATAGATCTTTTTGACTGGTATGGGTGTAGGGTGTGGAGTGTGGGTGTGGGTGAGTGTGGGTGTGGGTGTGGGTGTGCGTGGGTGTGGGTGTGAGTGTGGGTGTGGGTGTGAGTGTGGGTGTGAGTGTGGGTGTGGGTGCGGGTGTGTGGGTGTGAGTGTGGGTGGGTGTGGGTGTGGGTATGGGTGTGGGTGTGAGTGTGGGTGTGGGTGCGGGTGTGTGGGTGTGGGTGGGTGTGGGTGTGGGTGTGCGTGGGTGTGCGTGTGGGTGCGGGTGTGTGAGTGTGAGTGTGGGTGTAGGTGGGTGTGGGTGTGGGTGTGGGTGTGGGTGTGGGTGTGCGTGGGTGTGCGTGTGGGTGCGGGTGTGTGAGTGTGAGTGTGGGTGTAGATGAGTGTGGGTGTGGGTGTGGGTGTGGGTGTTCATTACTGTATGAAACAATCCCACCCACCAACACACCCACCCAGACCCACTCATACCCACACCCATCCACACCCACCCACACCCACCCACACCCACACCCACACCCACACAGCCACACCCACACAGCCACACCCACACCTCACGCCCCACACCCCACACCCACATCTACACCCATACCCTTAAGGAGCTCGTCAGATTGGTGTGATACTCTATACATGTCTAACCAATTCAGTAAATTCTGAGAAGACTCGTTAAATTGGCGGTTTGATCGTGTATGGTAGACTGAAAAAAGAAAGAAATGAAAGAGAAATGTTGTTGAGAGAACATCTTAGAAACGGAGTGACGTTCTGTGAGTTGTGAATGAAGCATTTTATAAAAGAAAAATCATTTTTTACAAGCAGAGTTCGTTAAGCTAAAGGTGTTCATCGACAATGCGCGACAAGGATACCCGTCGTAAAGTTATGGGCACTTTCTGCGTGATATTGTTGGTTCTGGCATTGTGTTGGAATTGTGCAGCTGATTGTTGGTGGTATTTACCACGGAAAATGTCCATATACTGACTTTGCAGTGAGCTACAACATCACGTCGGGTGTTTTTACTATTCTTGTGATTATTATTGGTGTTGTGATCTACAGTTGTCTATCAAATTGGAAGGATGATAATGCGGCGGTTCCTGTAATGTTAATCACCATAATTGTAATTTTGGTATTATTTGTAGCCTGTTGGACTTTCTTTGGGATTGCGGTAGTATCAAATGTATGGAATGGAAATAGTACATCGACGAATACCACTTTGTCATCATATTTTCATCCAACATTGATCATCAGTAGCTTTGTTCTCATGATTCTCTACTATATCTTCTTATTGTTAATATTTTTTGCAGGAGTGGGTTTGCAAGCGTCCTATCAAACTTGAAGCATATCAACTTTCTAAATGATCGTGTATGAGTTTAACTAGGGATGCACCAGTCCCAGTTCTGACTGGTGAACTGGGTCCCAGTCGGACTGGGTGTCCAGTCCGACTGGATACCCAGTCCGACTGGATACCCAGTCCGACTGGGACCCAGTCATTGACTGAGACCCAGTCGCGACTGGGTGCTTAGTCCTTTGATATTTAGTCCATTAGTCGTGTAGTACTTTCTTTTCGAGTATACTGCCATACAGTGATTTTTAGGCTGTTGAAGTAGTGAAATAAGTTATGATACTAATTCCATTGGCTAATCATATATTTCTATATATCAATCGTTATAATTTAGAATACTATAAATGAATTTCATGTTTTCAGGGTGTGGGTATGGCTAGGGTGTAGATGTGCGTGGGTGGATTGTGGGTGTGGGTGTTGTTTGGATGGATATGGGTGTGGAGGTTGTTTGGATGCGGGAATAGTTAGAATGGCAATAACGACACCCATACCAACGTCAAACCAACCTCCACACCCACACCCTTAGAAAAGAGGGAAGTACCGATAGATTAGCGGAATAAACGTCAAACGACTAAGTACCCAGTCCGACTGGAACCCAGTTACTGGCACTGGTGCACACCTAAGTTTAACATACAGTAGTGAACAAAATTATAAGTAAAAATTTTTTTTAATGTATTAGTGGGTTTTCATATCCTCTTTCTCTGCTTGAATTGATCAATCATATCAGTACATGTACATTCAAGTATGCTCTAACCGAATATCAACTTATAATCTTTTTACACCTATTTATTTTCACTAAAAAAAATCGAACAAAAACAGTGTTTTTCATCTGGCCAAAATTATAAGAACAGAAAACTGCTTACATAGCGTTTTGCACAAAATCGAGTCAATATTTTGATGAAGTACTTCCTTTTACACGAATACATTTTTTTATACCTCTAGGCATCGATCGAACTAAATTTTCACATGTTTCAGTTGGTATATCTGTCCATAATTCCAGAATAGCTTGTTGAAGCGCATTAACATTGTTCAAACGATAGTTGATGAGTTTTTTCTCGATTATATCCCACAAGAATGTGGGTGGGTATGACTGAGCTGCCATGACCGGTTTCGTTCGAGCTAAGGGACTCATTCAGATGGCTTAATCTATTCTGAATTTTTTGAATAAAATCCAAAACAAGATGTATCTTCAGTGATAAACATAGAAAATACTGTTTCTAATAGAAGAATAAATTTTACATTATTAAGATTTAGTTTCTCGAGATTGAAAGCATCACACGACACGTTTTTTGTCCTTCCTTAAGGGACTTGACGGGTGTGGGTATGGGTGTGGGCTGTGGGTGGGGTGTGGGTGTGGGAGTGGGGTTGTGGTGTGGGGAGAGCGTTTCAACTCGTCATGTGACGAGTTGAACAAATTGCAAAAATCACACCTTCCGTAACACCAAAAATAGGCATATTCAAAAATGCAGGGATGTCGTAACGAAATTTACAGGGCGATCGTAACGACTAATACAGGGAGTTCGTAACGGTTGCAGAGCTTTCACAACGAAGCAACAGGGTTTTCGTAATGAAATATATGTTAGTCGTACGTCATTTACGAATAGAAATTACATGGGTTTCGTAACGAATTGTACAGGGCTTTCGTAACGGCTAAAATAGACTTTCTCATGCTATATTTCAAAGGAGATGTAGGCTGTCAAATCAGGGCTGTCGTAACGAATTTTACATGGAAGACGTAACTGTTCATACAGGGTTGTCGTACCGGAAAAGCAGAGTGTATGTGAGTTAGATGTATA